AGGGAGGTCAACGCACCGAGGAAAGCGCACAGCGAACGCGGAGGCCCCGCGGCCCCCTGTGCGTCGTCCCCTCACGGCCGCCTGAACCTCGGGGCTCGCGTTCTCGCGTCACTGCGGGAGGCCCTGAGCGCCGGGACGAGGCCGCCTCCCGGCTCCCACCAGAGCCCGCGCGGGGAGGAGGGGACGGGAGGGCGCCCAGCCCACCGGGAGCCGCATCCGAAGCCCGCCCCACAGCCCTCCGGGAGACCCCCACTCACCTAAGGGCGTGACTCTGATCTCGGGCATCTCCTCCACGGCGCTACCGGACCCGCGAGTCGCACACACCGAGACGCGCTGCACGGGCGCAGCCACCACGGCATCAACTTCCGGTGCTCTTGCCGGAAATGAGGGTCGGCGCACCGGGCGGCCTGATTGGGCAGCATCCAACCAATCAGAGCGGCGGACGCAGGCGGGCGGGGCCCGGACCCCGGATGCGGCCCAGGTGAGCGGCTCGGGCTCGGCGGCCGCACCTGCCTGACCCAACCGGTGGGGTCCGAAGGTCGCCAAGGGGCCGGGAGCGGGAGGGGACGTCTTAGAAGGTTGGAGCGGGCGGGCGGCCAAGGACCGGGCTCCCGCGCAGGACAGAGCTGTCTCAGGTCGGCCCCTCCCCACTACCACCCCGCGCCTCAGCCCCTTCCTGGGCCCCTCGGCGGAGCAGGGACTCGAACCAGTGCCCACTCAGTCCGGTACCATCTGAAGCCCCTTCCCAGGTGAGACTCGCAGCGCTCGCTGGACAGGGCCCTGATCCCACCCAAGGCCTGGGGCGCCGTGGGGGCGGTCTCCTGCTGGCCTCCCAGCCTGCTGGCCCCCCAGGGCTGTGTGCTCAGAAGGCCCTTGCGCCCAGCCCTGACCTTGGGCCGGTGGGCTGCCCTGGGAAAGGCCTGGAGGTGCCCTGGGTCACCTTCCTGGGCTGGCGAGCTGCCCGCGTCCTGCACAGCCACTGCCCTTCCTGTTGTCCCTGAGCCACCAGCCACAGCCCTGAGAGGCTCCTGGCAGCTCCTGTTGGCCACTGGCTCAGATCTGGGCAGGAAGGCGAGGCCTGCAGAATATCTGGTGACCAAGAAGGAAACCCCAGAGCCTCAGAGACCGTCTTCTCAGTGGACAGACAGCCGCCCGAGGAGGGGAGGGGCGTGCTGGAAGTCTCTAGGGCTCCATCTTCCTGGGGCCCAGGAGCAGCCATCCCCCACACCTGAAACCCAGTGAGCTCACATCTGGGGCCTCCGCCTGGTGCCAAGCATGCAGCCCAACCTGTGGGGCCTGCAAGGCAAGGCTTCAGCACCTCCAGGCCATGGTGCTTCAGCAGCCTGGGCCCTGGGTTGGGCAGGGCTTGCAGCCCGTGCTCCCCAGTGATGAAGGGCCCAGCAACCTGCCCACCTGCTCCTGGCCAGGAGTGCTCACCACGGCTGGGTGCCCTCCCCGCCCCTGCTGGAGTCCCTGCAGCCAGGGAAGTCAGGACAGGGCTCCCAGCATCAAGGGGCCCAGGAACCTCCAGGCCCAGTGGGGCAAGGGTTCTTCCTGGTCGAGGAGGGAAGACCAGGGGGTGTCCCCTTGGGGCACCCGGGGAGACGGGGCAAGGGTGTTTGGTAACACCCACACAAAGCATGGGTGCCTGGATGTCTGGGGAGTGACTGTGTGAATGCAGCAGAATCCAGAGCAGGGCCTGGGCCACTCACGGAAGGTTCCCTAGGGCTGCTAGGAGGGCCTTATGGCAATCTTGGGAGTGTGGTAAAAACTTTAGCCCAGCCACCCATCCATGTGGGACTCATAGTTTCGGCAACGGCAGTGAAAACAGTTGCGTCTATCCATCCAGCAAGCGCTGGCCCCACAGCCTCTCCTCTGCTTTGGGGATGCAGCATTGAGGAAGACGGGGGCAGTCTGTCCGGCAGCATGTCCGCCCCCACCCACCCCCCTGCAGCACCCCCCACACTCCCTGCCCCCCCCCACTCTGCGTTCTGCTGTGTCTGTTTCCTTGCGTGTGACCTCGGAACTTCCTGTCTTTGTCGCCGTCTGACCCCACCCCAGATGGATGCCCACCCACTCCCCGTGCACCCAGGTGCCTAGAACAGTGCTTGGCTCTGGGCAGGGGCTTGGCAAATGTTTCTTCAGCTGGCAAAAACAGATACAGCCTCTAGTGAGAGAAACAAAAACAAATAAGCAGGAAAGCATCAGCAGAGACGCCCACTGCAGACGGCACGATCGAGTGGTCTGATGAAGCCAGAGGGGTCAGGGACTGACCCACAGGAGGGGCCGTGCCAAGGACTGTGGGTACGAGGCCCTGATGAAGGGTGGGTCAGGGTGGTGTGCCTGAGAGCCTGCCGCTTGGCTGGGAGCAGAGCCAGGCGGCTCCTCGGAGGAAGCTCCATAAGGGGCGTGAGTGTTCGGTGGGATCGCAGCTCTCTCTCTTTCCCTTCCACACGCAGAGAAAATGAGCCACAGATCAAGCTGACCCCAGTGAGACTGTATTTCCCAGACCAACCGTATTGCCGTTCCTATCAAAAAATGGATGATTCGGAGACAGGTTTCAATCTGAAAGTCGTCCTGGTCAGTTTCAAGCAGTGTCTCAATGAGAAGGAAGAGGTTCTGCTGGACCCCTACATTGCCAGTTGGAAGGGCCTGGTCAGGTGCGTCCGCAGGGCCTGCTCCCCGGGGCCTCCTCACCTGGCCAAGTCCTGCATGTGGTGTTTGCCTCCTGCTGGCTGTCATCACCAGCTTTGCGGCCTGTTTCCGGATGGGTGTACGTCCTTGGAAAGCTGGGCGGCGTCCCCTGCACCCCGGTGGGCTGCCCCGGCCTGGGCGAGGACTCGAGCCCTGCTCCCTCCCGCAGGTTTCTGAACAGCCTGGGCGCCATCTTCTCGTTCATCTCTAAGGACGTGGTCTCCAAGCTGCAGATCATGGAGCGCCTCAGGGGCGGCCCGCAGCGCGAGTGCTACTGCACCCTGCAGGCCATGGTGGCCCATGAGCTGGGCAGCCAGCTGGTGGACCTGGAGCGGCGCTCCCAGCACCCCGAGTCCGGCTGCCGCACCGTGCTGCGCCTGCACCGTGCCCTGCACTGGCTGCAGCTGTTCCTGGAGAGCCTGCGCACCAGCCCCGAGGACGCGCGCACCTCCGTGCTCTGCACCGACTCCTACAACGCCTCGCTGGCCGCCCACCACCCCTGGATCGTGCGCCGCGCCGTCACCGTGGCCTTCTGCGCCCTGCCTACACGCAAGGTCTTCCTGGAGGCCATGAACGTGGGGCCCCCGGAGCAGGCCGTGCAGATGCTGGGCGAGGCCCTCCCCTTCATCAGGCGCGTCTATGACGTCTCCCAGAAGCTGTACGCCGAGCACTCCCTGCTGAACCTGCCCTAGCGGCAGGAACCCAGGGCCACGTGGGCTTTCCTGCTGCAGATCTGGGCTGCGAGCCCCACAGCAGAACTTTCTGGGGGCCCCAGGAACAGGAGATCCGCTGTTGTCCCTGTGAGCCGAGCTTGTTAGGAGCCACAGACTGTGGCAGAGAAGGTGGCACCCAGCCCAAAGAGGCCTGCCCTCCCGGTCCAGAACAGGGCGCCTCAGCCACGGCTCCCCCTCAGCCTGTTGCACACGTGCCCAGCCAGGCCTGGCCGCGTGCAGAAAGTGGAGGGGGTGGGGGCGGGGCCGGGCCTGCAAGAGCCGGAAAGGTCGCCACCTCCCAGCCTGTGGGGCAAATCTGCAGACTGGGGTGAAGTCACTGGTCCCGGGGTGTGGAGACTCCATCCTTTCTCTGCCAGCCAGTGTGTCCTCCTCTCAGGTCCTCACTGGCCAGGCCTGGGACCCCTTGTCTGCCCAGGTGGGCAACACTGACTCCAGGCACCTCAGCCCCTTCCATGCCCAGGCTAGCAGAAAGCCCCCAGCAGTGAGCAGTCTGGGCCCTTGGGGTCTCCCCACCTCTCACTGCCTTGTTTGCCCCTCAGCATGCCAGGCGGACTGAGGGTGGGACGGCCAGGAGCTGAGATCAAGGCTCCTCACCGAAGGGCCGGAGAAGGCCTTGCCCTTGGGACAGCCTCCCTGCAGCCCCTGCAGGGTCCCTCCCGAAGCTGCCGTGGGTTTGCACAGCACACCCAAGGCCCCAGGAGCCAGGACTCTGCTACTCCCAACAAAACGCTGTGTCCCATCAAGGGGCCCTGCCCCTTGATGCTCCCTCTCCCCAGGAGACCCAAGGGGCATGGAGCAGGAGGGCCTGGACCCCATGGCCTGGCCAGTGGCTACCAGCCAGCCACACCCAGCCCAGCCACCAGCCAGTTCCTGGCTCCTCACGGCGGACTGCAGCGCCTCGGGGTGGCAGAGGAACAGCCCCCACCACGCAAGCTTCTGGAGTGCCACCCATGCGATCTCTTCCAACGTTAATAAATCACAGAATCCCAGGACGTGGACCTTGGGGTGTGCTGAGCGCAATTGTCCAGGGGGACCACGGGCACCCAGGGAGGGGTGGGGAGGGGCCTCACCCCAGGGACACAGCTGAGGTAGGTGCACCCAACTGCCCTGAGAAAAGGCCAGCCTTGGGGCTGGGGCTGCTGTGTGCCTGTCCCCCCCCAGAGAGCACTGGAGAGGTCCCTGTCACTGTGCCCATTTTACAGGTGAGACAACAGAGACACAGACCTCTCCAGAGCCAAGAGGCTGGGTTGGGAAGGCAGAGAAGGTCGGCGTCTCCGTGCAGAAGAGGAGAGGCCTGTGTGGGATGTGCGGGTGGAGGTGGGGCTGCTCCCAGCCACAACAGTGGCCTGCACAGAAAGGGGATGCAGTTCGGTGGGGGTCTTCCTCGACGCCACCCAACCTCAGGGTCTGTGGGAGCCGCACGTGGTGTTGGCAAAGGCTGCTGGCTGCAGAATGGGCCCCAGCGCCGAGCTCTGGGTGTGGCCTTCTGTGCATGTGCCGTGCGTGTGTGCCAAGTTTGTATGTGCCGTGAGCGTATGTGCCCTGCGTTGTGTGCCATGCGTGTTGTGTGCCATGTGCATGTGCTGTGCTCGTGTGCCATGCTCATGTGTCCTGTGTGCCATGTGCGCCGTGTCATGTGTGCCGTGCTTTTGTGTGCCGTGCTTTTGTGTGCCGTGCTCCTGTGCCGTATGCCATGCTCCCGTGTGCCGTGTGTGCTGTGTTCCTGTGTGCCGTGTGCCGTTCTCGTGTGCCGTGCTCCTGTGTGCCGTGTGCCGTGCTCCTCTGTGCTGTGTGCTGTGTGTGCCGTGTGCCGTGCTCCTGTGTGCCGTGCCGTGTGTGCCATGCTCCTGTGCGCCATGTGTTGTGTGTACCATATGTACATGCCATGCTCCTGTGTGCCACATTCCTGTGTTCCTGTGTGCCGGGTTTGTGTGTGTTGTAGTCATGCATGTGCCTCATGGATCCTCCCTCGCAGCGCTGTGGGGAAGAGGCACCAGCCAGGGTGCAACTCTTGGTAAATGTCCACAAGGTCTGCCAGGCCCCAGCTGAAGTCAAGTGCCCCTCAGCTCTCCTCAGTGGAGGGTCTGCACCTGGAGCCTGGTGTGTCCCCAAGGGCACCCCCAAAGTGAGGCAGAGGAGGAGCCCCCTGCACTGAGGAGCAGGAGGTGAGGTGGAGCCCCACCGTCCACCTGGTTCCGCTCCAGCTGCCACTTGTGTGCCTGTGGCCCTTCCTCCCTCATTTGCGTGGCCCCCTCCTTCAGGCCCAGCCTTGAGCTGCATCCCCAGCAGGAGCCACCTGTGTGCCTGCCGGGCAGGAGAGGCCCAGGCTGGGGTCAGCAGCATGAGGACAGCTGGCCATGCAGCTCCTACAGCTTCCAGGCATCAGACCCCAGCAGAAGAGCTGAGACCCTCAAGGAACGCTGCTCCAAAGCAGGCTGTGAGGTCACCACCGCCACCGCAGGGCCCTCCCCATCCAGCTGCAGGGTGGAGGCCTGGCTGGTCTGCAGCCCCCCACTCCTGACAGCACAGCCTTGAGTTGGAAGCCTGAAGCCCGCAGGGCTGGGTAGGAGGTGTTTCCGTGCCTGTGAAAAGCCCAGAGCTGGGTGTCTCTGCATCCCTCCCATGGCAGCTGAGCCCTACAGGCCCCCTGCCCCTGCTGCTTGCCACAGCCTGCCAGGCAACTCCAGAAATGGGGGGTGCTGAGGGGCTCGGGCACAGGCAGGGAACAAGGCCACGGCCAGTGGTCAGCACAGTCTGCCTGCAGATCGGTGTTGGCCACAGAGCCTGGCAGTGGCCTCAGGAAGAGTCTGAGGCACACACATCTTCAGGCCTGGAAAGCAAGGACTGCCACTGGGGCCCCAGGGCGTGGCAGGTAAGGAAGGCAAGGGTTTTGTTAAACAAATCCTCTGCCTGCCCCCCGCCCCGGTCTCACTGCATATAAGGCGCCACTCGGGGCAGCCACCTGCCGTGCCTGCTGGAAGCTGCCCCTGCCATGGTGGGCTCCGCTGTCCTGGGCCTCGGCCTCTGGGCGCTCCTGCACCTTAGGACAGGGGCCCCGTTGTGCCTGTCACAGCAACTGAAGATGAAGGGGGACTACGTGCTGGGGGGGCTGTTCCCCCTAGGCGAGGCCGGGGAGACTGCCCTCCACAGCCGGACGCAGCCCAACAGCCTCGTGTGCACCAGGTACGGAGGTGGGATGGCCCGGGACGGGGGTCAAGGTGAGCAGGCCTGGGGTGCCGCCTGCAGCTCCGTGTGGCCCCAGGTTCTCCTGGAACGGCCTGCTCTGGGCGCTGGCCATGAAGATGGCAGTGGAGGAGATCAACAACCGGTCGGACCTGCTGCCGGGGCTGCGCCTGGGCTACGACGTCTTTGACACGTGCTCGGAGCCCACGGTCACCATGAAGCCCAGCCTCATGTTCCTGGCCAAGGCGAACAGCCACGACATCGCCGCCTACTGCAACTACACGCAGTACCAGCCCCGCGTGCTAGCCGTTATCGGGCCCCACTCCTCAGAGCTCGCCCTGGTCACGGGGAAGTTCTTTGGCTTCTTCCTCATGCCCCAGGTGGGCGCCCCCCGCCATTGCCCCCCACCCGGCCCTTCCCCCGGGAGCCCCTGTGTCAGGAGATGCCTCTCGGCCCCCGCAGGTCAGCTACGGGGCTAGCATGGACCTGCTGAGCACCCGGGAGACCTTCCCCTCCTTCTTCCGCACGGTGCCCAGTGACCGTGTGCAGCTGGTGGCCACCGTGGAGCTGCTGCAGCAGCTCGGCTGGAACTGGGTGGCCGCCCTGGGCAGCGACGATGAGTACGGCCGGCAGGGCTTGAGCATCTTCTCGGGCCTGGCCGCGGCACGCGGCATCTGCATCGCACACGAGGGCCTGGTGCCGCTGCCCCATGCCGATAGCCCGTGGGTGAGCAAGGTGCAGGAGCTGCTGCCCCAGGTGAACCAGAGCAGCATACAGGTGGTGCTGCTGTTCGCCTCCGCGCGTGCCGCCCAGGCCTTCTTCAGCTACGGCATCAGCCGCAGGCTCTCACCCAAGGTGTGGGTGGCTAGCGAGGCCTGGCTGACCTCCGACCTGGTCATGGGGCTGCCCGGCATGACCGAGGTGGGCACGGTGCTTGGCTTCCTGCAGAGGGGTGCCCAGCTGCCCAAGTTCTCCCAGTACGTGAAGACGCACCTGGCCCTGGCCGCCGACCCGGCTTTCTGCGCCTCGCTGGGCGAGAGGGAGCAGGGCCTGGAGGAGCACGTGGTGGGCCCACGCTGCCCGCAGTGTGACGATGTCACGCTGCAGAACGTGTCTGCCAGGCTGCAGCACCACCAGACGTTCTCCGTCTACGCAGCCGTGTACAGCGTGGCCCAGGGCCTGCACAACACTCTGCGCTGCAACGCCTCGGGCTGCCCCGTGCAGGACCCCGTGAAGCCCTGGCAGGTGGGCCCGGGAGAGGGGGCTGTGCCGACCTCTGCACGTGCCCGGCCACCGGGCAGGGCCACGGTGTCTGGGCTGGAGGTGGCTGGTGGCTCAGCCCCGTCCCCCGCCCACAGCTCCTGCAGAACATGTACAACATGACTTTCCGCGTGGCCGGGCTGGTGCTGCGTTTCGACAGCAGCGGGAACGTAGACATGGAGTACGACCTGAAGTTGTGGGTGTGGCGGGGCCCAGTGCCCGAGCTGCACAACGTGGGCATCTTCAATGGCAGCCTCTGGCCGGAGCGCCTCAAGATGCGCTGGCACACACCCGACAACCAGGTGAGGGTGGGCGTGCTGGGCGTGCTGGCCGTGCCCCGGGGCAGCCTCCACGGCAGGGCGCAGCCTGGGGGTGGGGGTTGTCCCAGTCTCCGGTGGGCGTGCCCAACCGGGCGGAGCCAGACCCCAGGCCTGTGCCCAGGAGCCCGTGTCCCAGTGCTCGCGGCAGTGCCAGGAGGGCCAGGTGCGCCGGGTCAAGGGCTTCCACTCCTGCTGCTACGACTGCGTAGACTGTGAGGCAGGCAGCTACCGACGCAACCCAGGTGAGCCGCCTTCCCAGCAGGGATGGGCAGAGTGCAGCACGGGGGGGTCCTGCCGAGTCCTGGCTCGGAGGCCAGAGCGCACAGGGCAGGCAGGGCGAGGCCAGCCGCCAGCCCCCTTCTCCTCTTCTCCCACAGACGACCCCACCTGCACCCCTTGCCGCCACGACCAGTGGTCCCCGGAGCGGAGCACACGCTGCTTCCGCCGCAGGCCTCGGTTCCTGACGTGGGGCGAGCCGGCTGTGCTGCTGCTGCTCCTGCTGCTGGGCCTGGCACTGGGGCTTGTGCTGGCCGCCCTGGGGCTGTTCATTCGCCATCGGGACAGCCCACTAGTTCAGGCCTCGGGGGGGGCCCTGGCCTGCTTCGGCCTGGTCTGTCTGGGCCTGGTGTGCCTCAGCGTCCTCCTGTTCCCTGGGCAGCCCAGCCCTGCCCGCTGCCTGGTCCAGCAGCCCTTATCCCACCTCCCACTCACGGGCTGCCTGAGCACGCTCTTCCTGCAGGCGGCCGAGACCTTCGTGGAGTCGGAGCTGCCTCAGAGCTGGGCAGACCGGCTGCGGGGCTGCCTGCAGGGGCCCTGGGCCTGGCTGGCGGTGCTGCTGGCCATGCTGGTGGAGGCCGCGCTATGCGCCTGGTACCTGCTCGCCTTCCCACCAGAGGTGGTGACGGACTGGCGCGTGCTGCCCACGGAGGCACTGGTGCACTGTCGCACACGATCCTGGGTCAGCTTCGGCCTGGTGCACGCCACCAATGCCATACTGGCCTTCCTGTGCTTCCTGGGCACCTTCCTGGTGCAGAGCCAGCCCGGCCGCTACAACCGTGCCCGTGGCCTCACCTTCGCCATGCTGGCCTATTTCATCATCTGGGTCTCCTTCGTGCCCCTCCTGGCCAATGTGCAGGTGGCCCTCAGGCCCGCCATGCAGATGGGCGCCTTCCTGCTTTGCACCCTGGGCATCCTGACTGCCTTCCACCTGCCAAGATGTTACCTGCTCCTGTGGCAGCCGGGGCTCAACACCCCCGAGTTCTTCCTGGGAGGGGCCCAGATGCCCAAGGTGGGAATGGTGGTGGAGACAGAGGAAGCTCAGGGAAAAAAATGAGTGACTCTGACCCTTTGACTTCATTCCTGGTGAACCCGGAACTAGTTGAGATGTCCCCTAAGCCAGCAATGACCAGTGTGCCCTACAGAGACTCTCCAGCTCTAGATTCTGACCCTGGGTTGCTGCCTGACCCTGACCCCGCAGTGATCCCTGGGCCTGCAGCATGTGGATGCCCCTGTGACCATCTGGGCCCCAGAGCTGAGCTCTGTCCCTGTCCCTCTCCACCCAGACCAGGCCTGCCCAGGTGACCCAGCCCCACTGTTCCAGGACGCCTGGAGGGCTTCCAGCATCCCCGAAATCCACCCTGTGAGCTCAGAAAAAAGACGCAGGAAGGCCCCTAGTCAGATGGCTGGAAGCCCATGCCAAGCCCTACCAACCTGACCATGCCTCTTGGGGGGGGCCCACCCACCCAGCATCAGGCCCAGGCACCAGAGTATTCGGAGGCTGGGTGTGGGGACACAGGCGTTCACACAGGGCAGACCCCACCCCCAGGTGGGAGTGGCACCTGGCTTCCTTCTCTGCCCCTGGCCCAGTGGGTAGTGTCATGACTCACCAGAACTAGGGACAGAGCCCAGGTGGGGTGTGGGCAGGGACCAGGAGCCAGCACCATGGACAGAAAACTGCACACCGGGGTCCGAGATCAGCCACCCCCCAGGCCCACGCAGGGTCTCAGGTCAGAGTCCCAGGGTCAGCTCCCAGCCGGGCCTCGTGGAGGCCTGACCAGTCCCCCACGCCTCATTCCAAGACAGCCCAGCCAGACAGAAGGGGCACAGGCCACACGTCCATCCCATAAAATTAAACGCTTTTTAGTGTTTAAAATAAGCAGCATTTACACAGACGCAGCGACTTTCATACATTACCTACAGCGCAGACACGGGGGGCCAGAGACGCCAGGAAGGCCACAGTGTGTGCGGGCCGCGGTGTGTGCGGGCAGTGTGTGTGCGTTCACCAAGGATGGGCCAGCTGACCACTCACCTCCCCAAGACCTCCCTCCCTGCGGCAGCTGTGCACATCAGGGTCCCTGGACCCCGAGGACCACAGCCCATCTCTGCCCTGGCTGGGAAGCGGTGGGCAGGATGTCCAGCCCTCTCTTGTGTTCCTGTCCCGTCCTCCACACATTCAGACTTGACTGTGTGGCTGAAGGAGAGGTGGGAAGGTGCAGGCTGCTCTAAAAGGTGGGGGCGGGTGGGACAGCTAGGAGGGCCACCTCTTCCGCTAAGGCATCAGCCAGGCAATAAATAAATAAATTAGATCCCTACCGGAGAGCAGGAGGGACCTGGGGGCTCTGCTTCACCCGCAGGAGGCCCTGTCAGGGTCAGAGGGATGGGCCTGTGCACTGCAGGGCTGCACCTCATGGGTCACTCAGGGGGCCTGTGCACGGCTGTGCAGGAGGTGGGGGTCAGCCCGGAGCCCAAGGGGTCTTCCTCGTCCTAGGAGGGATCACCGCCAGACACGAGGGGTTGGGAGGTCCCTGAGGCTCTCACTGAGGAGCAGAGAGGGAGCACCCCAACGCGGCGGCTCAGACACAGCTGCTTCCAGGGGTCGGAGCAGCCGGGCTGCAGGCAGATGACTGCGATGGCCCACCCTGCCCCCCACCCTGCCCCTACTAAAGCAAGCCCTCTCAAGTTCTGCGTGCACCAGGATCGACAGCTCCCTGCCTCAGGCAGGATTGTGGCCACGCACCACAGATCACATGATGTCCACGAAGAACTCGCAGGGATTCCCCATGGCCTTTTGGAAGGACTGGCGGCTGCCTGTCAATTCTGGGGGGACGGCAGCCAGCTCCCGGACAGGGGGTCCCCCGGGTGGGCCCCCGACCACCGTATAGGCCTTGGTCACGGGGTGGGGTGTGGGAAGCCCCGGGGCAGTGGCTGAAGCCTGACTGCGTGGGCTGCTTCCGCGGCTGAGCTGGCCAGCTGGACACTCCCGCCAGCTGCTGCCCACCCCGCTCGGTGCCGTGTGGTCCGATTCGCTGCCGCTGCCCCCGGCTCCTGCCGCCCGCCGCTCCTTCTCACGGCCTGGTGCCCGGCGGCTGCTCCGGGTGGACCCGCTACTCCTGCTTCCTGGGGGTGAGAACAGGAGGGGGAGGCGGCTGTCAGCGCCAGGCTCGGTCACATCCAGAACCACCATCCCGCCAGGTGACTGGGCAGGAGCGGTGGCCCGAGCAGGCCGGGTAGGTGGGACAGCCAAGCAGGTGCGAGGACAGGGCAGCACCCCCAGGGTCGCAGGGGCAGCTGCAGCAGGCATGTGCTGGTGGGGGCAGTGGCAGGCGGGCGGGGTTCTAGAGTGAGCTGGGCACCCCCATGCCTCACCCTGATGCTTGAGCTGAGGGCCCGGTCTTGCGGCTGAAAGGCTGAGGTGCCAGTGAGGGCCCCCTGTGCCCAGTGCCCCACGGCCATCCTGGATTCCCCACCCGAGGCCCCGCTGTCCCCCCGACCCAGGGCCCTGGCCGACAGACTACTCAGCTCAGCCCCATCCCAGGCTCCCGACACGCAGTGGGAGCCAGAGGATGTGGCCAGGTGGGGACATGCTGAGGAGGGTGCTGGGAGGGACCCTGGCTTACCGGCCCAAGGCTCCACTCCGCTAGTCCTTCAGTCTAAGGCTTGCTCAGCACAAGGCAAGGGATAGCACGAGTTACACGCCCGCCGCCCGGCACCCACCCGGCACCCACCCGCCACCAGTGGGGCCTGATTGTGGGCTGGGTGGGGCTTAAGTGGGTGCAAGGGCCAGTCCAGGGTCAGCAGACACCAGCGCGGCTTCTCTGCGGCCCCACGCCCTCTAGCGGCCTTTCCTCTCTCTCCGTCCTTCCTAGGCCCTCCGGGCCGCCACCTGCGCCCGGTCCTGGCCTGCAGAAATCCTACTGGCCTCGCCAACCCCACCCACCAGGGCCTCTGATCCACCAGGCCACCCCTAAGGGACGCCCTGGATCCTCCAGCCCCCCCGCACATCCCAGGCACGAGCGTGCGGCTGTGCATGGCACTGTCCACGTCGGGCGCCCGCCCGGGCTGCAGCTTCCACCCTCCTGTGTCCTGAGGCCTGGAAAGTGACCCTGCCTGACCGTGGCCACCCCGCCCTGTCCTTGGCACACAGCCTTTGTCCACGTGGCCTCCTCCTGCCTCTACCACGGGAAGAGCACCAGTTGCCACTCGTGTCCAGCAGTCACCCAGGCCTCCAGGCTCCCGGAGGACCCCTTCCCAACCCCACCCAGATGAGGTGGGGTCCAGGCTGCCCCTGTGTGAGACACTTCCCTGTCCCTCCCCTTTCACACTGGCTCCCTGGTTCCCCTGGCACTTGCCCCTTCCAGAAAGAGCTCACCCAGGGCCCAAGCACACAGCAGGAGCATGGGGTGCGGGACAGCAGTGAAGTGGGGCGGAGCTGGGAAGCAGGGCATAGCCGGGGGCAGAGCAGCAGTGGGTTGGGGCAGAGCTGGGGGCAGAGCCAGGGTGGGTCAGGAGAGGGCAGGGCAGGGGCGGGGCTCTCACCTTCACTCTGCTGACTCCCAGTGCTGCCGCTGCCATAGCTAAAGCCCGGGTCCTGGTAGGCAGGTGGGAAGCAGGGCGGGGGCCCCGGGTACTGGTAGGGGTAGCCCTGACCCAGGGGCCAGGGGGCGGTCGGGTGGGGCAGCGGGGCCAGCGTGTCCTGATCCGAGGCCCCGCTGGAGCCACTGTTGAGGTTCAGGGCCGCGAGATCTGGCGGAGGAGGGTGTGTGAGGGCCTCACAGGGGCCGAGGCCCCCCCTCCATCCCAAAGCCCCCACTCACTGCTACACAGGTCCCCGAAGACGTAGTAGCACTGCTCGGAGAAGGTGATCTTGTTGACCGTGTGCCGCAGGAAGCCGTGCTTGAGCAAGCTGCTGGCGTACTTCCGGGCCTCCCGCCGCTCCTTGAAGCCCTCCACGTGCGTGTACAGCCAGTCCACCACGTCCGCTCCTGGCCAGCACCAGCGGTCAGCCCGAAGCCCCGAGGTGCGCATCCCCACCCCTGGCGCTGACGGCCCGTGGGGACGGCCGCTCACCGATGACGGCGTTGGCGATGGTGATCTTGAGCCACATACGATCACGAATCTCCAGCCCCGAGTCCGGCAGCTGCATAGCCCGCACGACCGCACCCATGTCACTCTTCACCGTCAGCGGCGCCTCCTCCAGCTCTGCAAGGCACAGCCTCCTCAGCTCCAGTGCAGACAGGCTGCTGGACCAGGGCCCTGCACACCCAGGGTAGCCTCTGGGCGGAGGCTGCGACGGCCCAGGCTGGAGCGTGCGTGACAGCAAAGCCCTGCCCCTCCCAGGGTGGACCCCCATGAGCCTGGGATGTGGGCAGAGGAATTGGACATTTGTCTCCCACTCCTGCAGACACTTCTCATCAGGATCCCAGGCGCAAACTGGACTGAGAACACCCCTCCCTGCAGACCAGGGCATAATGAGAACGGGGCAGGCCCCTTCCCCTCCCTGCATGCCCACCCATGAAAGCGCAGGCTGTTAGTCGTGTTAGTGGCAGGAAGCAGAGTGGAGACCGGGCGCTGCCTCTGACCCCCTGGGTGCGCCCCTCACAGGGACCTACTGACATCCCCCTGCTCCCAACACACAGATGGTGAAGGGGGGGGCTGCGCAAGGTGGGCACGGGTGTCTGTGCACACACATCTGTGCAGGGTGTCGGGGACAGGCCCCGGGACAGCCCAGGACGCCATGCTGAGGCTGGCAGAGCCTTGCCCTCCACCTCAGTTTCTGCTGGGCCCCTCGGGAGCTGCCACTTACGCGGAGCGCCAGGCACGGAGCTGGTTAGTGAGGAGGAGCTGGTGCGCGTGACGGCGCTGGAGCAGGGGCTCGTACCGTAGCGGGGCAGGGCTCCTGTCAGTGCCGCCGTGTGGGACAGCCAGGCGGCAGGGTCGATGGGCCGCACCGGGTCAGCTGGGTGGCCACCACGTGGCGATGACAGGCGGACAGACGGACGGGGTGGGAGGGCAGAGCACAGGGCAGAGGAGAGAGGCCTTCAGGCTGGGCAGGTGCCCCATACCCACCCTGCCCCGTGTATTCCAAGAGCCACTCACCCCTTGGGACGGTGAAGTAGCTTCGGGGCGTTGGGTCCCAGCACTTGGCCACGGTAAGGCTGATGGGCCTGCAGGAGTGGTGGTCACACAGCAAGGGTGTCACGGTCCCCCGTCCCTGCCCGCCCCTCCCGCTCCAGCACCCCGGCCCTCACCCCGTCTGGGACACGATCTCCCGCAGAACCCGGACAGCGTCGTCGTTGCTCATGTTCTCGAAGTTCACGTCATTTACCTGCGGGGGTGGGGATTAGGGTGGTGCAGGCAGGGTGTGAGCTCGGCCCACAGCCCCCACAGCCCCACCCTCGGCCTCCCGTCTCCCTGCAGCCCCTGCAGACCCACCTGCAGCAGCATGTCCCCAGGCTCAATGCGGCCGTCAGCGGCCACGGCCCCGCCCTTCATGATGGAGCCTATGTAAATGCCGCCATCTCCACGATCATTGCTCTGCCCCACAATGCTGATGCCCAGGAAGTGGTGTCTCTCTGCGGGAAAGGCAGTGAGCCGTGGCCAAGACCCCGCCCCACCCCCAGCGCTCGTCCCGAGGCCTCACCCATGTTGAGTGTGACGGTGACGATGTTGAGAGACATGGTGGAGTCCGTAATGCTGCTGAAGGAGGAGGCCTGTGGACGGGAGCGGGGAGCATGAGGGGCACAGGGCTGCCCGAAGCTGCCTTCACCCCCCAAGACCCCGCCCCGCCCCGCCCAGCCCGTACCCGGTCAGCCTGCCGCAGGCGCTGCTTCCTCCTCCGGCGCTTGTGCTTCCGGATGAGCCTGGATGACGTGCTCTGCTCAGTGGAGCTGCTCAGCCTGGGGACAGGGCATCAGAGCTCAGAGGAGCTGGGAACGTAAATGGGGGATGGAGCCCTGCCCCCAGTGCTGGGTGAGCTGAACCTGGGAACTGGAGGGCCCAGGCCAGGCTTGCTCCAGAGCAGGCTCAGTGCCTGACATCCACGCCCCAGGCCCCGCACACGTGATGTGCATATGGGCACACACAAAAACCCCAGAGTCAGGCAAATAGGGACACAAATGTAGCCAGCTCATTACCGGCAAACATGCACACACATGCACACCTACGCACACGCACACCTGTGCACATACATGCACCTGTGCACACACACCTATGCACACATATCTATACACCTGCACACATACATGCACCTGCGCACACCCGCACACACCTGCACACACACGTGCACCTGCACACATGTGTGCACACCTGTGGCTGTGGGTGGGTCTGCAGGAACTTCGGGGAGACACGGCTGTGGGGGCTGTGAGGTAACACACGTGCACATTGTGAAAACACACCTCACACACAAGCACGTACACAAGCAGACATATGCTCATGTACATCTGCGCACAGGCACGTGCACAAGGCAAAAACACCTCATGCACACATGCACAGGCAGAGACATAAGCAACATGTACAGAGACGCGTACGAACACATGCACACGGACAAACATGTGTATAGTGTGAAAACACCTCACATACGTGCACGTCACGTGGACACACATTTACACGCCAGCTTGCATACGTGCACACACATGTGGTGTGAAGACCCATGCGCATCACGTACACACATCCGCGCACGGGCACACACCTGCTCGTGCTGCCATCCTCATCTGAGTCCACGAAGCTGCTGGACTCAAGCTCGCTGCTCAGGGCAGTGGACGTGCTGTCTGGGGGCAGCCCCACGTCCCGCCGCCGGTCTCCCCGTGGGTGCCCATTGGTCCGGGCGGCTGTGGGGGCAGCAGGTTGGGAGCTGACGGGGGGGTCTCCCGGAGGTCGCGGGTTTGGGGTGGGTCTGGGAGCTGATGGCTGGCAGGCTGGGTGAGCCTATACCAGGCATCTCCACTGGCTGGGGGCAGGAATGGTGTGATAGGAATGGGGGAGTATCATGGGGTCCCACAGCTGGGCAGACACGACCACTGTACCCTCCTCGCGGTTCCGGCGTCGGGCACGCTCCCGCCGGTGGCTGACCAGGGACTCCGTCCCCGTCTCGTTGTCCATCCCATCACGGCTGCTGGCCACATTCAGGCTGTGCGACAAGGACAGGGCGGGGTGGGGAGGCCACGGCCCCAGCCCCTCAGATGCCTCCCAGCCCAGCCGCCCCTCGGCCATGGGACCCCAGACCCAGCAGGTGCCACGCCCGCCCGCTGGCCCAGGCAGGGCTCCCTCCCTTCAGCCAGTGCCCCTCATGATGGGCTTGGGGTAGCAAGGCTGAGCCCCTGCGGTGTCCTTACTGGAAGGAGGGGGGCCGGGAGTCCCCAATGCCACCTGTCCGCTCAAGAGGCAGAGGCAGGTCTGTGTGGCTGTCCGCGCCCTGGGAGCCGGCATCTGAGTGAGCACCCTCAGCCAGGACCAGCTGTGGAGGGAGCAGACACGCTCAGGGCAGCCCTCCTGCCTCCAGGACGCCTCCTCAGGGCAGCCCTCCTGCCTTCAGGACGCCTCCTCAGGGCAGCCAAGGCGCAGGGGACCAGCACCATTCCCTATTTGCATCCAGCCTGCCAGGGCCTCCCACAAGCACCGCCTCCCCAGGGAGAGCCCCATCCTGGAACGCTCCCCAGGTGAGCGGTTGGGGCCAGAACGCAGGGGCTCACCCAGGAGACCACACGGCCGTTGAAGCAGGGCAGCTTGGCATTGTCGTCCAGGATCTCCTCCTTCACCACCCTGTGGGCAGACGCCGCCGTGAGGCCCCACCTAGGGGCCCAACCCTGCAGCTCCACAGGTGAGGCTGATGCCTGGGGCCTGGGAGCAGGCGCATCCCCCACCTGGGCACTGTCACTCTCCTCTCGGGAGCCGTCCTTCCTCTCTGTCACGTCCTGGGCCCCCGCCCCACGCCGCCGGCCCCACAGAGGAGGCTCAGCCAAAGGCTCCCGGCCCCTGCCGTGTTGGTCCATGGGCCCCAGCCCCCAGGTGGGGGACAGCTAAGGTCAGGACTCCTTGGGAAAGGCCCTGTGCCCAGCTTCCCACAGTCCAGACTCATCCATGAGGTGGCCCCAGACGCCATCCAGGCCTGTCTCCAACCACCCCCACCTCATCTGGCCCCTGGGCTTGGAGGCCATGACCCCTCTGGGCTGCCCCCACACTGGGACTCCTCAAGGCCGGGCCCCAGCCTCCTCAGTGACAGCAGTTGCACCTACCCAGGGCCAAGGCTCCCCAGGCCGTTCCCCGTCTCTCACCCCGGACCACAGGTCTACCGCTCTACCTCCAGGCAGCTCCAGACCAGCCCCTCACCCCTCAGCACTCAGAGCATCAGGCCACATGCACCCGACCCTGCACTAAGACCTGCCATTCCCAACCAGGAGCCCAAATCCCCCAGCAACCTCCTCTCCATCAGGCCGGCCACGCCCTACCGCCCTGTTCCGCCCTCCTGGCGTCTCAGGAGCACCCTCAGGTCCAGGCCGTGTGCCTGCCTGCCCAGAGTCAGGCTCTGTGAGGGCGGGGCTCTGCCTGGCTCCTGCCCTGCACCCCAAGTCAGGCTCACAGTCCGCACACAGGACGCTCAAACCTGACAGAGAGACACAGGTGGGCTGGGAAGGCACACAGACCCCCAGAGGCAGCCCACCACCCTCGTGTCCTGTCCACCCACCCAGGGAGATGAAGACCCCCCTCGCCAAGCCTCCCCACACCTCAAGACCTAGAAGGGCAGCCGGGGCCGCAGAGCTGCCAGGACAGCAAGCTGGCCAGCTGCCTCACCCAGTGTCTAGATGCCGCCCCCAGCCAGATGGGCTTGGGAATGGGGCAGAGAGCACCCAGGCAGGTTACAGAGGGTCAGGGGACATGAACCAGGAGGCCGGGTGACCCAAGCTCAGAGTTCAAAGGGCAGGGTGGTAACGCACACAGCGCAAAGGGGCGGCTGGGCAGGAGCAGGTCCCCAGGCCAAGGGGCAAGGCAGGCAAGCCAGGGCCAACCCTCACACCATGACCTCTGGGGGCCCAGGCAACAGGCTGGGTAGGATCTGGATGCCCGCCTCCTGGCACCCTGCCGTGCCCAGCACAGCAGGATTTTCCACACTGGGACTTCAGCCCAGTAGAGAAATGGGAGCCCGGAGACTGGGCTCAGCCTGGGCACACACCTGGCAGGAAGTGGCCTGTGGCTGCCATGCCCACTGCCAGCTGCAGGGCCACCCCTACCGGCTGCTCCAGGCCCCCTGGCTCCGGGCACCTTGACTCAGCCAGGCCCCAGCAGCAGCAGGTAGCAGGAGCCCCCTGGCAAAGCAACAAACCTGGGCCCAAGCCCTGGCCCACCCACTTGCTGGGAGGAGGCCCCAGGCCTCAGGGCAGAGTGGACAGCAGGCAGGGCCAGCCTGGGTGGGGGTAGACGCCCTTCCCCTCTGGGGTCCTGCAGCCACTTCCCTGGGCCTCCCAGGGCCAGGCTGTTGCCATGGGGTGGGTGTCCCCAAAGAGCAGAGAAGATCACTTCTCAGGCCCCTTCATGTCTGCTGCCCCACACAGGAGCCACAGCCCTAAGGAGAAGGGCCAGCTTCCCAGGTAAGCCATGACCCTATGCCAGGATGAGGGCGCCACTGTGAGAGGCTGTCACACCTGGAAGGCTGGAGCAACCCAGGGTGAGGTGGGCCCCACGGACACCAAGCCACCGCCAGCTGCAGCCAGGGGGCCAGGGCCCACAGTGAGGCCCCACCTCTGAGGGGTCTGGCCACAGCAGAGACCCTGACAGGGTCCCCACCTCAGCCCCTGACACATGGCTGCAGGTGGCCTGGCCCGCAGCTTCTCCACTGCCGCACCCAACCCCAGCACCCTCTGACTCATCTGAGGGAGACACTTGGCCACGCAGGACCCCAGGGCAGTGCACGCCCGGCTCCACTGGCAGAGGGCCCTGCCCCTCCCACCATCCAGAGTGGCCCAAGTCCCCATGGCCCACCCCGCCAGGGCCTCATGAAGACCCCAAGCTGCCTGGGATGTCCCTGCCCCCTGCCCCTACACAGACACCCAGCCAGGGCCCAGAGGCCCTGCTACCTCCACCTTCAGCCCAAGTGGGTGACGAGTCCTGCCTTCTCCAGGTGGCAGGGTGCAGACCCCAGCCTGGCTGGGTCAGGAGGATGGCAGCCGCACCCAAACAGCGCAGAAGGAAGGGTGGGGCCTGCCTGGGGCTCCAGGGAGCAGGGACCCAGGTCTCAGGCAGAGCCCTGCCCTCCCCACCCCAGCCAGATGGGGGAGGATGCCGGAGGCTGGCCGAGCATGGGGGCTGCACCTACCACCCGGGCTCCCTGCACCTCTGGAGAAGCCTCTGCTGAAAGGTAGAGCAGCCGACAGCGCCGCCCTGCCAGTGCTGTGCCCCCACCTCAGGATTCCCCGTGAGGCCCAGCTAGCCTCTGCGTGCTGCCCCCACAGGCCCACCCTGGGGAGGAATGCACTCAGAGGCAGTGCCATGGGAGCCAGCATGGCCACAGTGGCCACAGAAGACTCTCCGATCTCCCAGAGGCCACAGCCAGCTGCCCCCCATGTGGCATCGCCCCGACTGTACCCCATTCTCCCGAGGTGGAACAGGGAGCTGGCAGGAACAGCTGGACCAGACCAGGAGGCCCAGAGCCATCCCATGCATTCAGAGCCCTCTGTGCCTCCCCCAGGTCAGGGCCCTCAGCCGTCGAGGTCTGTGGCCTCCCAATCCCTGACCCCAGAGCCAGCAGCTCTCCCAGCAGCCTGTCCCCTGGGTGGTGCTGAGTCCTGGAGTCTCTCTGAGCCCCTCCCCAGGTTAAGGCCACACAGGCTCAAGTGTCCTTGCTAGGCCGTGTCTGAGTGCAGCGGGTGCACTGCCTGGACTCTCCCAACACCAGAGAGGCATTTGGAGCACAGAGAGGCTGAGCTACAGGCCCTAGGCGGCACAGACAGGAAGAGTGCAGTGGGAGCTCCCCTAGCAGTCCAGGCCAGGCAGAGCCTCCCCAACTCCGCAATCCACACAGCACCAGCCAGGGCACGAGCAGCTGTCACAACACCCAGGCCCGTGGCAGGCGGCCCCGGGGACCAGGGCTTTGAGGCCACAGTCTTGGCTCTACCCATCCCCCAGCCCCTGGGCCTGGGTCACCCCCGCCTCAGAGATGAACTTCGGGAGCTGTCCCCAACGGACGGGCTCAGTGCCAAGTCCAGCAGGCCTGGTAGCAGGGACCCGGAGCCCAGCACTGTCCCTCCTCTGCCTCAGCCAAAGGCTGGGTGAGACCCCTGCCAACCACGAAACCCAGCACCAGGCAGAGACCCTCCCTAGTTCTGCTCTCCGGGGTCAGAGTACCCGTGACCAGGGCGCGAAAAGTAGGCGACAGGCGGGGAACCTTCCCCTGCTGGGCCAGAGCTGTGCATGGGGAGTAGGACCCAGTCCAGAGCACGTGGCTCTGGCCACGACCCAGGCTTCCTGCACTGCAAGGTGGTCAGCCTGCTCTGGAGCCAGGGCTGGGCTGAGTGCAGCAGGGGCTGGCACAGGAAGCCCCGACTCGGGGCCCCTGGAGGTCTCCAACCTGAGGCTCCCTCTGTCGTGGAGGCCACCGCAGACCAGCCAGGGCCTGCCTCCTCTTCCCCCAACCTCCATCTGCATGCTCTTGGCATCCAGGACCAGCGTCTAGCTCAGCTCTCACTCAGGCTAGAGTGTGAGTGAATGACCGGCCCTCCCCCAGGGTTCTAGTCCACAGAGCAGCGCTGAGAGCCCTGCGGAACACTCAGGGGAGGGAGGAGCAAGCAGCTGATGGGGGTTCTCTGCAGGCTCCTGAGGCCAAAGCCAGAGGACACAGAGCAAGCCCCAGTCTCGTGCCTCCAGCATCACCCCAGTGCATCCCTCCCAACCCCCACAGCCAACCCAACCCCGACCTCTGCCGCCCCAGTGCCTCCCAGCCCCTGTGAGCCTGCAGCCTCCACAGCTGTATACTGAAGCTCCCCTGTCTCTTCCCTGCCGTCATCCCCAAGCCTGCCTCAACACCCAGACCTGCCCACCCTGCTCCCAGGCCCGGGCACCCGCAAGTCCTCCACAAGTGCCCAGCAGGCGCAGCCTCTGCTGGAAGTGCACGGGGGCAGCAGCCAGGCTGTCTCTCCCCTGGGCAGCTCCCGGTGGGTGTCAGAAGCAGAAGACAAGCTCTCCCAGGGCTTCACCCGGAGCATGGTCCAGGGGCCGGAACCTGGGGGCTGGGCACCTAGCCACATATTTCCTGGCAGCACACATTTGTGACAAAGAACACTGGTGACTCTGCTCACTTTTGTAATGATAATAAATGAAAACAAAACTGCACTGACATAAACCCCACACTCAAGGCCAAAGCCCAGGCGCAGAGAGCAGGGACTGCAAGGTCCCCCCGCGGGGGAGGCACTGACCAGACTCAGAAAACAAACCACCGGAGCGGGCAGGAGGGCCGCCGAGCTGAGCGGGGAGCGCCCAGCCTTCAGAGGCTGCCAAGGACGCACCCTGCCCTCTCTGCTTCGCCCTGGTGGGGGGTGGGGAAAGAAAGTACAGCTGTCCATATGTCCTTTGGGTCCCCTGACAGCCCCAGCGGGGACCCAGCTTGACCGAACCTGGAGCTGCCAGTGAACCCTGCAACCACAGAATCCAGGAAACAGCCTTAATGTCACAGCCCCAGGACGCGGCTTGCTGGAGAGCGGCCAGGCTCACCTGCTAGGCCCACGGGGCCTTCCGTCCCTGGTACTGCTGAGCTGGGACTCGGGACTCAGGTTACCGCCAGCAGGGCAGGGCCAGGCCTCAAGCAGGCGGCCAGCCTCCTGCTCCCTGTCCCCGAGGGCCTAGCTCAGCACAGCAGGGGTCTCCTCACCCGGGACTGCCACCACCACCACCGAAGCCCAGCGCTGAGACCCTAACCCTGGCTGCCCGGAAGCAGCCGCTGGCCCGAGTTGCTCTGCGGCTCAGCGGGGACAAGGGCCGACAGGGAGCTCAGGGCAGGGGTGAATGAATAGTCTCATGGCCACCAGTGGCCCTGGGCCCCGGCCCTGTCACGGGGACCGAGAAGGGGACCACGGGAACCTGTCTTGGGGCTCTCGAAGCTTCCGTAAACCCCAGCAGACGGGCTGGTGAGCCTGTCCCCCCACGTCTCCCCAGCCCGGCTGGAGAACCCCTCCCTGCTTCCTTCCCACTGACACGCCCCTGGCCCCAGCCCGCACCAGCGGCCCGCGCTACCGGCCAGCCCGGTGGAGGAAACGCGGCCGACGGGCTCCCCCGGGCCGAGGCCGGACGGGGGTCGGGACCCCCGCCCGCCATCGCTGTGGTCACGGACAGGTGGGCGCGCGCCGCTCGCGGGCCGAGGCCGCCACCCCCGCCGCACCTGGCGGAGGCGCGTCGCGGTCGCAGGTCCCGGGGCGCGGGCGGCCCGGACCCCCGCCCCGTCCGCGCGCGCAGCTGCGACCCGAGCCCGCGCCCCGTGCGCGTGGCCCGGCGGCCGACTGACCCGAAGTCCTGGTCCATGGACTTGAAGAAGAATTTGTAGGCGTGCACCGGCCGGTTGCTGAGCACGTTCTTGAAGTCGGCCAGCGTGACGCGCTCGGGGGCCACGGGCAGCTTGACCAGGTACGGCGTCTCCTCCTCGTCCATGTGGTAGATGATCTTGGTCTCCGCCATGGCGCGGCGGCGGCGCGGAGCCCGC